AAAATATACAGTCAATTCACTTTACAGTATATTCCGTGAAGTGCTTTGAGATATCTTGAAGACATGATAAGGCGCTATATCAAATGCAAGAATTATTGTTTTTGTATAAGCAGGATGTGTCCCTCCAGTGACAAAATGCACATCTTATTCCAACAATCTATCTCTGGAATTTCCAATGGTAGGTGAGATGCATGGGACACTTAATTTGGTTTGAATATTTTACCATTCTGATAGGTTTCTGCACGGGTCAACAACAAAAAATGTAATTTATAAAGTGCCTTTCACATCAGGAGGATGTCCCAAGGAGCTGGACATTTGAGGGTTTGCACCGAGCAGAGAGTTGGAATTGGGAGGGGTGGGGGCCAAGAGGGGTGGAGTGGGAAGATGACCAAAGGTGCGATCAAAGAGGGAGATCTTGAGATGGACTTTGAAGTAGGCAAGGGAAGGGGCGAGGTCGAGGGACTCCAGGATAGAATTCTAGAGGGCGGGGGCAGGAACACTGAAAACCTGGCCTTCTGTGGTGGAGTAGTTGGGGTGGGGGAAAGTGAAGCCAGTTTCTGCCGAGCAGAAGGAGCCAACAGGTTGGTAGGATTTTAGAAGGTCACGGAGGTAGGGTGGGGCAAAACTGAGGAGGGATTTAAAAGTGAGGAGGAGGATCTTGAACTTGATCCGCTGGTGCATGGATAGCCAGTGAAGCCGAGTGAGGGTGGGGGTGATAAGGCTTGAGGAGCCTGGTGCAGGACCCCCGGCTGATCAAAAAGAATGTAAATGATTTAAATCCCAATGTGAACTCTGGTTTCCGTATTTCTGTCACTTAGCAACATTTAAAGTGTTATATAAAAACACACGGTAAGTGTTGGCTAATGTCCCATTGCCATGGCAACAGTCAGCTCCTGCTGGGTCATAGCCTCCAGAATAGTATGGATTGCTTTACTGGGTCAAAAATAAGATGCAATTCAAATGTTCTAAATTTAAACTCTAGGACAGGAGATTGTGTTTTGGTAACTACCTTTGTGCTTTTTCATCAATGGTTTGTTTGAACAGTAGATTATTAGTAATGTTATTCCATTCTAACTGGAGGCTAGTCTTCAACAACTTGTGTAAGTACAAATTATACAAGTACACACAAAAACACTCAGCATGTGTGCTCACACATGTAGATAGCAGCAAAGATGGGTAAGAAAATGAGGAAGCACAGAATGGGAAAAGACCATTACAGCTGAAAACAATGAATTTAACACAGACTAGACGTTCTATCTGGGGCCGTCCAGCTTTGTATGGCTCTCTGCCCCACACCAGGCTGTGCACTTATACACCAAACCTTGGGGAAAGAACTTGCAAGTCTTTCTTTTTAAAAAAAAGTCTATCGCTAAATTTACCAAATTGTGTATTATATTCCATTGAGCTGGATTTTTGACTAAAGTCTTTGCTGAAAGAACTTAACTCTACAAGTCAGGTCTCAAATGGGTAGGATTGGTCTCTCCCAGCTGGACAGCAGTGAGAGGTTTACCAAACAATCTTTGCCTCTGGTATATTCTTCTGAAGTATTTCACTGTAGGGGAATCCAGAATAGAAGGACATAATCTTAAAATTAGAGCTAGGCCATTTAGGAGTGAAAGTAGGAGGCAGTTTTTCACCCAAAGGGTAGTAGAAATCTGGAACTCTCATCCCCAATAGGCTGTGGATGCTGGATCCATTTACATTTTCAAGACTTGGGTGGATAGCTATTTGTTAGGTCATGGTATTAAGGGATACAGGGCAAGGGCTGGTAATCGGACTTGAGGTACAGTTCAGCCATGATCTTATAGAATGGTGGAATAGGCTCGAGGGGCTGAATGGCCTACTCCTGTTTCTATATTTCTATGTGTTTTTAGCTGGTTGAACTCCAGCAATACCCCAATGCACATCCTTCTGACTCACAGGTGAGAATGCTGCCTAGAGAACCAAACTGGAACCTGGTGAACAGAGTGTAAAGATGCAGGAAAGGGGAAACTGCAGACACAGGGGAGGACAGTGTGCAACGCAGATGGAGAAACAGATTGGGAGGCAGGTTAGGAAACAAGAGGGAGGTGTCAGGTGAGCGGACCTACCAGCAAGAAAAAATTAGGTAAACTGTGAGGAAAAATTGCAGAAACAGTTTTCAAGTATTTATTTAGTATTTAAAAAAACATTTGATATTGGAGACAGGAGGGCATCAATTTAAGATAGTTAGCAAATGAGCAAATGGAGAGCTTACAGGATTTATTTTCACCTACAGAATAGTTAGGATGTGGACTGACTTGCATATTAACTTTCATGTGGGAAGAAGATAAATACCTAAAAAGGAGAATCTACAGGAGAAGGGTAAAGGGCAAATAAATGGGTCTGAAAGCATTCTACAGAGCAGAGGAGTGCTGGAGATATTGAGATGATAGATAGAAAGAGTCTTCAGAAAATCTTTACTCCACCTGTATTCTTCATAGTGTCCAGTGCAATGATGTACACAGTCCCACCAGTGCAGGAAGTATTCATGTAATTTGAGCTATTCCACTTCAATGTTGTTCCATAATCCTGAAGCCAATGCTGTAACAGGTAGGAACATCCGTGGTGGAAAAGCAGTGGAAAGCTTACTATGGCCTCAACCATGGGGTTTTGGCTGGTTAAATTCCAGCAATACTTCCGGGCACACTTTTGAGTCCCTAATGCTCTTGCCACCCAATGTCTTTATTCTATAGAATATAGACAATACAACCCCCCTCCCCCCATCCTGGACAGATTGCGCACTCCACAACTGACGATTAAAAACTCTGCTTCTTAATAGACTCTAGCAGAACAAAAAGTTTCCACTAAGACTTACAGCTAATGAATAAACAACCGATGCATGAATTTATAAACAGATTTCACAAGAATATTTTCCAAATATCCTAAGAAATGAATTGAATATATTCTACTTCGATGATTTATGGTTCCAAAACTCAGCAGCATATGGTACAGTTATTGGATTAACATGGTGAATGTTAACATGAGTGAGTTGGTGAATATTCCAACAATGGAAAATACATTATAGAATATGTTTATCATGAAAAGCAACTAAGTTATCTTGAGTAGATGTTAGTGGATGTTGAGTTTGAAATACAGAGTCCTCTAGTTCTGTGTTTTGCCTGAAAAATGCACGGCCACTACCTTTTACATATATCCTGTGAAGCTCTTTCAGACATCCTCCTAATGTGAAAGGATCTATATCAAATGCAAGGATTATTCTTATTATTTAAATAACTATCAAAAAATGAACTTCTATAGTACCATGGGCTAAGTGCAGTACCCTATATGGCCATCTTGGTATTTCGGTTCCTGATCCAAGCGAGTCTGCAATACTCCAGGGCACAGTACAGCCAGTCTGGTTTAGCAACAGGACTTGGACGGGTAGACCTGGCAGAGTGCAGGGACTCTTCCCACTTGATGCCCATTAACCCAACAAACCAAAGCCCTAATGGGAAGAATGGCCCAAGCTGAACAAGCAGCAGAAAGCATGAGTTCTCTCAATGGCAAGCTATGCACTTTTATCTGGCTAAACTCCCATCACACACTTTAGTGTCCCCAAGCCTTGGCTCTTGCTAATCTGTGTCTAAAAATCTCTGGAATTAGGTAAACAGGAAGCATCCCTCCAGGCAGAGCATTTGTATCCAATTTGAGATAAAGGGAAAACTCAATTTGGTTTGTATACAGTTAAGCATGGAAATGGGTTTCCTTATGTGTCAGATACTCAGCTGGCCAGAACAAGATAATAATAATAATAATCCTTGCTTTTGATATAGTGCTTTTCACATCATCTAGGCATCTCAAAACGCTTCAAAGAATATGCTCTAAAGTGAATTGACTGTATATTTGTGGGCAAAACATGGCAGCCAATTGCGCACAGCAGTGTCCCACAAACAGTCATGGATTGAAAATGACCAATTTATTATTGTTTTTGTTTTTTGGAGGGATTATTATTAGGCATGTGGAGTAAGGAAACTTGCCCAAGGTTTCACCCTACCTGGAATTGAACCCAGGTGTCTCGCTTGCAAGGCGAGTGCTCTGACCACTGAGCACTCAGGTCTCCACAGTAATGCAATGTTGGGTAGGGCAGGTGCGGTGTTGGGGGACATTATTGTTTGGAGGGGGGACTATTGGTTAGAGGGGTGCAGTAAAGGGAGGAGGGAGATGCACTATTGGGTAGAGGGGGACATAGTATTTCTAATAAGAGACATTGTTGGTTAGAAGGGTGCAGGATGGTTTGGAAAGAATAGATTAAATGTAGTGTGTTTAGAGAAGAGTCCCATAGTGCATTGGTTAGTGCGCTCGCCTTGCAAATGAGAGGACCTGGGTTTGATTCCTAATCGGGGCTGAAAGCTGAGGCAAATTGCCTTACTCCACACATCCCTATTTACTTAGAAGTAAGTAGGAACTGGGTTGTTAGTCGATTGGCAGATTACTTTCCAGGGGTAATAATCCCTCCAAAAAAAATTGGTCACTCAATTCACCAATGTTTGTGGGACTCTGCTGTATGCAATTAGCTGCTGCGTTTCGCTCACAAAATAAAGTCAGTCCACTTCACAATATATTCTGTGAAGAGCTTGGAGAGGTCAGATAAGGTGCTATATATATCAAATGCAAGGATTATTATTATTATAGGAGATGAGGCATTGGATAGACAAGGTTGGGTGTGTACAGAAGAGAGAGAGGAGAGAGAGTGAGTGAGTGAGTGAGAGTGAGTGAGTGAGTGAGAGGAAGGAGCTGCTTGTGCCTGAGAGACTTTACTCGCTTTCTGAGAGGGGAGGAAGAGTTTGATGTGAAGCTGCGTCTGTCAGACGGGTGAGAGGAGAAGGCGCCTGGAGTTGCTGCTGTGGGTCGGGAGAGGCGGTGCTGTGTTGAGTTTGCAAAGAGGAGACGCGGTGTTGAGAGCTGTTGAGAGGAGGTGCTGCAGCAAACCCTGGGCTGGGGTGCCAGGGTGGGGTGGGCTGGGGTGGGGTGGTGTGGGCGAGTGAGTGAGTGAGTGAGTGGGCGAGCGAGTGGGCGATCCATCTGCCTGTCTGCCACATGGCGTTCGGAGCATCCCCTGCCCTGTGTGCAGCAGTCGGTGTGCGCTGTTCGCTGCCCCACGTTGTCGGCCGATGACATTAAAGTTACGATGCCGGAAGATGGAGAAGTCTTGGGGCAGTTCTGAAATCAAATGGAGCGCCATATCCTTACCCCTGGACCTGATTGTGGGCAAATTCCGCTTACCGACCCTGGCCCGTCTGAGCCAAGGTAAGGGGGCGATCGCCCGCACCGGGACCGGGCTCGGGATTGACTGTGCAATCGCAAATGTTTGGTCGGGACGGATCCCGCAGGCGAGAGCCGAGCAAAAGATTCATCGGATTTTTTTCTTTTCATTTAAATATTGAAGCTTCTCCTGCGAAATTGGAAGTCGCTCTGCATTGCATTCCCTCCCTCTCACCCCTCTCACCCCTCTCACCCCTCTCACCCTCTTCCCCCTCTCCCCCTCTTCCCCCTCTCACCCTCTCCCCCTCTTCCCCTCTCCCCCTCTCCCCCCTCTCCACCTCTCCCCCTCTCCCCCTCTCCCCCTCTCACCCCTCTCCCCCTCTCACCCTCTCACCCTCACCCCCTCTCACCCTCTCACCCTCTCCCCCTCTCCCCCTCTCACCCTCTTCCCCCTCTCCAAAAAAAAAAGTTCACTCTCACTGTCTGGGAAAGGTTTTTCGGGCTTCACACACACACACACACACACCGGGAGGCGTTAGCGTTGCGGGATCTTTGCGTTATGTTTCCTCTCTGATATGCATTTGTCATTTTGTCAGGACTCCCCTTTGCGTGAGATGTCCTTCAACGTTTCGGATCTCTCACTGGAGCATTTGCTGGAAGTTTGCGCTTCGCGGGTGTGCGGGGGTGGGGGGGACCGCGAGGTTTCGGTGTGCGCTGCGTGTCAGTGACTGCGGGACAAACGCGCACACAGCGGATTCACCGCTGAGACAACCGGTTTGAGGGCAGCAGCAAATCCACAGCGCAGACAGTCCCAACTCCTTTGCAAACTTCCCTCTCTGCTGACTTGGTGGGGTGGGGGTGTGTGGGGGGGGCTGTGCCCGCGGAAACCTGGGCTCCAAAAAGTGTGGGACCTTTCTTTATTTCTTTCGCTCTTTTTTTTTCGGTGTGTTTTTCATTGACCGCAATATGGGCAACGGGTTCGGTGGAGCGCTTTAACATCCAGAAAAAAATAAAGCCATGAGTGGGAAGACTGAGACTGACCATCTGTGTGATGCACCGTCCTCCCCCCCCCCCACCCCCGTCCCCCCAGTTGCAGCCATCACACAGCATGTTGCAACCTTCTCAATGTGCAAACTTTAAACCTGTTTCATACAGTCAAACGCTCCTTTTCTTTTAGGAAAATAGTTTTGACGACAGGAGCAGTTTGATTAACGCTGACACGTCTACGTGAATGGGTTTTGCACGTTAAGCCTGTAATCTTTTTGAGACATGTTGCTGACAGGGGCAATGCTACATTTACATGGAGAGTTGGTGTTCAGCGTTGCAACGTTCTGGTATCTATTTGCGGAGACAGAGAGTTTGTTAAGGAGTGCAGTTGATCGCTGCAGTGATCAGACTCATTTGCAACCCATTGGTTTCACTGCCTCAAACACCACTGCACAGAAGCGGGGCAGCTTCAGTTTGGGACTGACTGCTCTGAGAGATTTAACCCCTCCACTTGCATTCGTCAAAATGCACAGGCACACTGTAATGCACCCCATGTCACCAAAAAATCAGCTTTCAAAGTATTTTACAGTTTTCTCTGAATAAACTGAAAACCCCTGAAGTCTGCTAAGGTCCCAGTGATGTTCATGCTGTGAGTTTTCAGGTGGTTTCTTTCCCTGGATGTCTTGTAAAGTATCCATGGACTTTCATTATTGTTCAGACCGAGTTTGAGGGATAATAGGTTTTTAATTATGTTTAAAGAAATTCCCCAGAACCCTTGTTACTATTGGTGCTTTGAGCAATTGAGGGACAAAAGAGTGATTCAAATTCTCATCTCACTGAATGTACCAATTATTCAACATTTGCACACAATAGTGGTGCTTTGCATTGGTTTAGTGCAAACATGTTGCTATAGTTTACAAAGAGTTCAGTGAGGAGCATCCCCTGTGAGTGCCTGTAATGCTCTTTCTCAGTGAGAATTGGGAGTCCACTTGTTTGAGTGCTGCTGCACGTTTATTGATTCAGGATCGTCTCACTGGCCCAGTTTCAGGAACCCAATGGCAATGTAATACTCCACCGTTGGCGGTTGATTCGTGCCCACATTCCCATGTGGAGTTTGTTACAAGTGAATGGATAAGTCTGAAAAAAAGAGCATTAATATTCAGTAGCTCGCCCTAAATACACACTGTTTGGAAAGTCTGATCATGAGACAAGGTATTTGCTAGTGTTTGCAGTTGACATTGGTACAAACCTGGTATTACTGTTGCCACTCAGTCACTGTTAATGTCAAGTTATAGTCAGATTTCCCCTCAGAACTGACTGTAATATCTACTTCGCAACTCCCATTTATTGTTTTATTTTTTTAAAAATTACAATTGATTTGAAATGGATCAGGTGTCAATTGTATACAGTTTTAAAAAAGTTCAAGTTTCTTCTCCCAGGGTGGAGATTCTATATATTTTTCTACATGGTGTGAGGCTTGTTTTGCTCTCAAATCCTCACGAAACTAAAACTTGTGGTTCAGCAGGATAAGAGATCACTGAGGTAAGAATGTTTTAGTCTGTTTCTACCCCCAGATAGGATAGGAATAAGAAAATCAGTGCCTCAAGCCAACCAAAGACATTATACATTGCAATAGCTGCCAACATCTCACCAAATAATAGTTTTATTTGATCCAGTCTTGGGTTTCTTAGTTTGGAGTCTCATTCTGCACATGAGTTGACTATTTGTAATATAGATGGCCAATGTATTTGGCACCATTTTAGTTGATCTTTCCCAATGTGAAACAAATGTAGTTTCTAATTATTTGAAATATAATTTGTTACACCACAAAACAAAAACAACACCTCCTCATCTAAAGTTTCTTAGCCTCGTACAACAACAAAGTTATGTTTATAGAGTGCCTTTCACATCGGGAGGACGTCCCAAAGCGCTGAACCGTCAGGTGTCGGGGCCCAAACATGAGGGAGGAGTGGTGTAGGGATGAGGGAAGGCAGAGAGGTGGGAGGGAGACCAAAGGCACGATCGAAGAGAAGGGTCTTGAGACTGACCTTGAAGGAGGCAAGGGAGGAAATGAGGCGAAGGGACCGTGGGATGGAGTTCCAGAGTGTGGGGGCAGAAAGGTTGAAAGGCCACCGATGGTAGGGTGGATCGGTTAAAGGCATGGAGCAGACCAGAGCCTGCCGAACGGAGGGAGTGGGCAGGTTGGTAGGGAGTCAGCAGGTCAGAGAGGTAGGAGGGGGCAAGTCCATGGATCGCCTTGAAAGTGAGGATGAGGATCTTGAACTTGATCCTCTGGGGGATGGGGAGTCTGGAGTCGGGCGAGGGTGAGAGTGATGCGGTCACGGAGCCTGGTGCATGAGAGTACACGAGCTGCAGAGTTTTGGATGATTTGCAGCTTGTGAAGGGAACAGTTGGGAAGGCCGATGAGGAGGGAGTTCCCGTAATCAAGCCTTGAGGTGACGAATGCGTGGGTGAGGGTTTCGGCAGCCTGAGGGGTGAGGCAGTGGCAGAGTCTGGAAATGTTGCGGAGGTAGTGGTAGGTAGTGCCAGTCATGGCGCGGATGTGGGGGAGAAAGGACAGTTCAGGGTCAAACAAGATATCCAGGTTCCTGACTGGCTTAGTGAGGTTGAGTGTGCAGCTGTGGAGGCTGATGCTGCCAGCGCCCGAGGTGTGGTGGCGCTGACGCGAGCCAATCAGGAAGGCTTCGGTCTTTCTGACATTGAGTTGGAGAAAGTTATCCCTCGTCCAGGATTTGATGTCGGACAGGCAGTCGGTCACGGCGCCAGTAGTCGTACATTGGTGCTGGGGATTTTCTTTTCTCATGTGGAGTCATTGCTTTTGATTGCAGCTTTCCCAGATTGCTAATAGAGATCATCAGGTAAGTTTATAGACATTACAAAGTTAGAACTACAGAATAAATTTTGGTTCAATTTGCGGTATTTGTAACATGTTTTGGAAATAAGAAATCTTATAAAAAATCCTGTTAACCCATGGGGACTCACACTGGATGTAGATTGAGTGGGAATTGAGTTTCCAGCAGTTGAGTACATCTGATTATCAGAGGGAGTCACCATTTGTGAAAGCGACTTCATCTCCACAAACGGCTTCTCCTCTAGCCCCGCACCATTTCATGTGACATTCCTCAGGGCTTTGTCCTTGGACCCCTCCTCTTCAATATCTATTTGCTCGTGTATAGGTGTATGTGGATGACACTCAACTGTACCTCTCTGCCTCCACTCTTGACTCCAGGACCACTGCTGTCGTGACAGAATATCTGTTGGACATCAAGTCCTGGATGAGCGCTAACTTTCTTCAGTTGAATGTCAATAAGACCGAGGCTTTCCTGATTGGCTCCCGTCAGCGCCTCCTCACCTCAGGCGCTGATAGCATCACCATTCATGGTTGAGCACACCACCTTGCTAAGCCAATCTGGAAACTTGGCATCTTGTTTGACCCTCAACTATCCTTTCTACCCACATCTGCGCCATGACCCACTCTGCCTTCTCCCACCTCCCTAACATTGCCTGTCTCCATCACTGTCTCACATGGCAGGCTGACGAATTCCTCATACATGCTTTCATTACATTGAGGCTTGACTATGCAAACTGCTTGCTTGTTGGTCTCCCCAACTCCTCCCTCCATAGGCTGCAGATCATCCAGAACTCTGCAGCCTGTGTCCTCTCCCGCTCTAGGCTCTGCAACCCTATCAGCCCCATCCTCACCCAACTTCATTGGCTTCCCATCACACAGAGGATACAGTTCAAGATCCTGGTCCTCACCTTCAAAAACCCCATGGTCTTGCTCCCCATTACATCTGCGACCTCATAAGCCCCTACCATCCTGTTTGCTCCCTCTGCTCAGTGGGCTCCGGCCTGCTTCGCGTCCCCCGCCTCGATCGCCCCACTGTTGGCGGGTGGGCCTTCTGCCACACTGTCCTACCCTCTGGAACTCCATCCCGCAGCCCCTCCGCCTTGCCTCCTTCCTTGCTACCTTAAAGGCACCCCATGCCTTCACCTCCCCTCTCGACTCTCTACTCCCTCCTCGCTCCCTCCCTTCC